GGCCGGAGCGTCCGGTGGCAAAACCCGGGGTCGATCGCCACCGGCGCCACGACGGGCTGCGCGTTGCCGCCGGCGTGCCCGGGCCCGCCCCTCCCGCCGCCCGCGGCCAGCACCGGGTTTATCGGCGAGTGGCAGCACCGGACCCAGTCCCACTTCCGCGGCCTTCTCGTGGACCCGATGAAGGTGTCGGCCAGGGCGTCCCTGTCATCGCCTTCGTCCACGCTACTACCGGGGACCGCGCTTCCGCCGTACTCGCTGGCGACGCTGCTTATCGCGCTCGGCCTCCCGCCAAGCGCGGCCGCGATCATGCTGGCGTCGTTGTCGGCCGCGGCAGCCGTCGGAGTAGGGTCCCACGCTCGCGTCATGACGGAATGCAGCCTGGAGAGGAGGAAGACGGCGGCGTCGAGAGTCTCCGGTAGGTAGACCCCGCACTCGGAGTCGCCCGCCGCCTCCTCGTTTCCGTCTTGGTCGTCGTCGTCGCCGTCGGCCCTGGAGGGCGGCCTCGCGGCCGACAGCCGCCTGGAACCGGTATCGTCGCCGCCCCTCGCCTGCCAGGAGATGCTGGCTCTCCGCGGCCGCCGCTGCGGCAGGTCGGCGTTGCCCTCGCGACCCAAGTGGTGCGTCACGCGCAACAGCAGCCGAAGAAGCTACGGGCAAACAAAATAGGACACGAGGGGCGCGTCGGGGCGGGGAAATACATCAACTATAAAGGTTTTTGAGGTGCACCCGGCATCGTGGGGTTGGGGGGCATGGACGCGTGTCTCGTCGCATCATCGACTGAGTGCAATGAGCAGCAAAAACAACGGACCTCAGACAGATGCTGGGTGCGCTTGTGTTGGGCCGCATCTTTGGGCGTCACGCGGTTCTCCTTCGCCCCTCCGCGCGCCGGCGGCGCCATGAAATTGTTCCCGAAGCTCTCCACGAAATCCCGGTAGGCTCGGACCACGGCCTCAGGCTTGTGTGACTGTGGTCCGTTAGCGGACCGCACATACAATCACGGAAGAAGTCAAACGCGGGGGTCGGGTAAGCCAACGTCCTCAGATAGACGCAGTGGTCTGGGTGTACTGTTGCACATGGGCAGAGCATCTTCTCGAAAGGCGTGAGGCATCGATGGCAAACACGTGTCCAACCTATGCATATCGCAAGCTCAGGAATGCGCCCCTACACCGCAGCATTTCGGACAACGACAAAAAGCAACAAAAAATTGGCAGGAACAGTAACAAGAAAAACAAGAGCAGCGGTACACGTCGCGCGTCACCTTGACCAAAGCATTCTCCGCGCCGGTGATGCGCCGCGGCTCTCTCCACTCCTGCGGGGCGTTGTTCTTGATAAACCGCAGCACCTCCCTCGTCGTCGGCGCACCAACATCGCCGCCACCCCCCCCGCGCCTCCCTCCGCCCTCTAGCGGCAGCAGCGCGGTTTCGACCTCTTCGACCGACCACTTGAGCTCCCCGCGACCGGAACGGCCCTTCGCTCCCCCCCCGCCACCCTGCGACTGCTGCCCCTTGGTCTTTCCCCCGGCCCCCCCCTTACGCCCGGTGACGTCACTGCCGCTGCCGGCGGCCCCATCGCCTCGCGGCGGCGGCTCATCCGGGGCGAGCACGGGCGCCCGCAACACCTTGAGGTCGTAGCAGAGTTTCCCCCCGGCGGGGTCACACCGGTCCGCGGCTCCCCAGCGGTACACGTTGATCGCGCCCTTCTCCCACATCACGCGGACGGCGTTCCTATCGGCGGGGGCCACGGCGCAGCTAGTGCTGCCGGCGCTCTCGGCGCCACCGCCGCCATGGGCACCGCCTCTGCCCGTGCCGCCGCCAGCTCGAGCGGCTTGGCCCCACGTCGCGAGCCCCACCACGAGCCCGCGCCCAGCGGCGTCTCCGTCCTGCTCGCCCCACGCCCAGTCCGGGCCGCGAACCACGACATCTCCGGCGCGCGGGAGATCTACCTTCGGCCCGCTCTTCCACAGGTCGAAGGCGTCCCCTTCCTCCCGCGTCACCCCGCGCCCACGGGGCACCGTGAGCCTGGGCGAGGATGTGGACCCTCGCGTCCCTCCCCCGCCGCCGCTGGGCGTCGTGGCACCGGGGTTGGTCGTCGACGACGCAGCGGCGGCCGCTTCCTTCAGCATCTGCTGCTGCAGGGCCTGCGCCTGCGCCTTTTCGGCGGAGCGCACCGTGGCCGCCACGTAGGACGGCACGTCGCGCGTCGTCAGCGCCGGTCTCACCGCCTCGGGGACGAGCGACAGCAGCAGGTTCGAGTCCGTGCAGACGGCGTTGCATACCCCCGAAATCAGCGCCGCGCAGCCCTCCTCGTCCATGTCCACCGGCAGCGGGCCGTCCGCCATCGCGGCGGCGGCGGCCACGCCGACGTCGTCGCTGCTGGAGGGACGACGGCTCCCGCCTTGCCCCCAACCCTTGCTCTCTTCCAGCTCACCCTCAACCTTGCTCTCGCCGCCCTCCTCCCCTTGCTCGGCGTCGGTATCCCCGCCGAGCCCGAGGCGGAACAGCGCGGTCAGAAAGCCGATCTTCTGCTCCGCCTCCGGCAGGAACACCTCGAGGCCCTGCCCCACGACCTCCGCGGCCTCGTACCGCACCGCGCGCCTCAGGGAGTCCATCTCCTCCCCCCCCTCCAGTTCCTCTTCCGCGTCGCCCCCCTCCCCGTCGGGCACCACGTCCAAGACACCCCCCGAGTAGTCCAGCAGGAGCGACAACAGACCCGACGCGAACGGGCTGCGTTGATCCACCCCGCCCTCCCGCCGCACCCCCGATGAAGAGCCGCCGCTAGAAGTCCCGAGACCGACCGTCCCCGGCGACACGCCCGCGGCGCACAGGTAGTACATGTTCGCCCGGAGCAGCCGCAGGGTGCACAGGCCGGCGACCAGTATGTCACGGGGCCCCCAGCACCCGGGGTCGTTGGCCGCCGCCTCCCTCTGCTGCTGCTTGGCGGCGGCCGTGTTGCCGCTGCCACCGCTGCTTCCGCTCTCCTTCGTGGAGGACCAAGCCCCGTCGTCCTCGTCGAGATCAGGCCTCAGACCTTCAGCGATTGCTGCTAGTTGCCAGAGAATGCTCCGGAGGAGAAGGTACGTGCGCACCTGAGAGAGCAAGCGCGCGCGGGGGGGGGGGGGGGGGGGGT